AAATCTTCTTATTGATATTGGTACATTGAAAAACACATCTCATATGCAAGTGTTTATGATGATGCATAATCATGAAACAAAAGGAAAGTAGAACAGATTAGGGCTAGTAATCATATTAAAATAAATAATTCCCCATGTGTCCTAATTTAGGGTATAATCTACAAAAATGGTATGGCTCTATCTAAGGTTGATTTTTTTAAGGTTCACTATATACAGGGTTTGGTAATTAACACAAGCTAAAAAGGTTCCCAAATTGATCCTTGCTGTCATTCACTCTGGACTTGCAAGGCCCTCAATCTTCACTTATAACGGGCTATCGATAGAAATGGTTCAACTTGAGCAAAAATATTTCGCTAACCCAAGTGGAGGCATTATAACCTCACGAAAGCATAGGTACTCTACTCCCTTCTAAAAAGGGATAGATTTGGGAGCCCAATTATAGAGCTTGTGCATGAATGCAAATGTACGTGTATGTGAGGAAATTTAACAATTATTAATCAAAATAAAATCAACAATATAATTAGCAATAATATAAGATAAATAAAATAACATAATAAAATTAAACGAATCCATTAAATTTTTACCTTTTTTTCCTTATTTTTATTCTAAAATTAGATAAAAAATTAAAGTAAATGTTAAAAAGATCGTAAAATCAAAGTTTGGATGATGTATGTTTAATTTTTGCTTGACTCTCAAGTGTCTCCAGTAGAGTCGTCAAGCTATCATAACAATTTTTCATAGGTGAGGGCCTCAATTGCTAGACTTGGAAAAAATTTTTAGAATCGCCATCAATCTTTTTTTTATATTATAAGATCTGATTGACCATAAAAAAATATCATCTTTTAATAAAAATCTTAAAATTAATTAAGATTTACTAAAAAATGTTTAGATCTACGAAATCAGAGTTGGGTTCGAGAGTACAATTACGAGTGAAAAAGGTATTGGTACCTTAATGTTGTTCATTCAGAGAACAATATCAATTAAACAGGATTCTAAATAAAATCATTTTTATAATAATTAAGGGATTTAATTAATTAATTAATTACTTTTTATTGTGATTATTTATTGTTATTATTTACTATTTATTATTTATATATTTTATTTTATATTATTTAAAAAAATTTTAGATTATCCCGACTCATTGGTGAAATTTAAAAATATTAATTTTTTACTTGTATTAAAGAAAATCGAACTCCTTCAATTTTTTTTAAAAAATTATATTTTTTTTAAAAAAAATTATTCAAAATATCAATTATTATTATTATTTCATTTTTTTATATTGTTTAAATAAAACTTTTATTTTAGTAAAAATAATTTTGGATTATTCTAACTTTATGATGAAATCCGAAAAATTATTTTTACTTGCAATAATTAAAGAAAACAAACTCTTACAGTTTTCTTTAAAAAATACATTTAAAAGATTCATTTAAATAATTTAACATTTTTTTATTTTATTTATGTTTTATTTATAATTTTTTAACAAAAATTATTTTTTAAATTATCCTAACACTTTGGTGAAATTTAAATAACATTTTTGCTTGTAATAAAATTTTATTTTTCTTAAATAGTTATTATTATTTTTATTATTATTAAGTTTTTTTTTGCATATTATATTTTTTATGTCCATATTTAATTTAGTTCTATTTTTCATTTTATTTATTCATTTCTAAAAGAATTATTACTAGTAATAATATAAAATAACAATAATATCATAAAAAACATAAAAATCAACATAAAATAAATAAAATCAAAATCAAAACAAAAAAGAAAAAGAAAAAGAAAAGGAAAAACATGCCAAATGGGTTAGGTCAAAGCAAAGGTTGATGTGTAGATCTTGTGTGATTCGGGCACAAGTCACACATCCAAAATCGTGTCGTTTTGGAGGTTTATAACTGGTATTTTTCTATTTTTTTAAAATTTTTACTTTCTTTCCTTTCTCTTTACCTTTGAGAGCTTCTTTCTCTAAAAATTTATTCTTTTCATCGATGGTCGTGCCAACCCAAATTTTGATCAATCGTCATCGTGCATCATGGTCTAAATCTTCAACAACGCCTGAAAATTTAAAGTTTCCCAATTCTGACAATATATTCAAATTTTAATCACCGAAAACTTCAAAGGTTGTCGAAAATTTTAAATTTTTTTAATTTTTGACGACCTAAAAATTTTTTAAAATTTTTCAAAAAATTAAAAAACCCTTATAGCCTTTCAAACACCTTTCTTAAACTAGTTTTACCAAAATAAGATCTAGAATACCCAGATCGAGAAAATTTTTTGTTTCTAGAAATTTTTTTTTTGCTTTTTGAAAAATTTTTTTGTTTTGTTGTTAGTAGTTCCTCTTTAATAAGAGGATTGTGTTTTTTTTTTTTTTTTTGCTTGTGTATGAATGACTGTAAAAAATTGCTTTCTACTTTTTGTTTCTGGCAGTGTTTCCCTTTTTTTTAGTTCCCCAGTTTTTTCTTCTTGACAATATTTTTCTCTTTTTTTTTTTATATTTTGCAAAAATTAATTTTATTTATAAAGTTTTTATGATTCAAATTGAAATTTTTATGTGAAAAATTTTAGAAATATATCTGGTGACTTTTACTCATCGTGCTGTCAAGTTAAATAGTATCAACGATGAAAAAAGCCATTATGAAAGCTTAATTTCAATTACCCAAAGTGAAATCAACAAATTTTTTTAATTTTTTTAAAAAATTAATAATAATAATAATAATATAAATAAAATTATGTTTAAACTAAAATAGTATCAGACAAAATTGTGCATACTCTATCATTTTCTTTTTCTAATTTAAAATTACACCTCTCAGTTTCTTGTTTCCTTACCACAACACATTTGGTTTTTTTTTTGTCAAAATATATAAATTAAAAAAGTTATATACATGCGTGTTTGACTGTACTTCCTTCACACCAACATTCAAAGATTATTTGAATATTTAAAATTTTCAAAATTAAATATATATGTATATATATTCTTTTCTACGGTCCTAATCTTCACAACTAACGAGATGCAAGAATAATTAGTGTGCCAAAAATTTTTAATTCCAAAAGGAAAATAAGAACAGAGAAAAAATCTCCTAATATTTTTTGAATAAATTCGACAAAAATACATTTATATTTAAAATTTGCATTTACCAAGACAAACTCTTAAAAACAAAGAATTTTTATTTGATATATTATTAATATATAAATTATATATTATTAATAAATAAAATGATGTATTTTATTAATAAATTAAATTAAATAATATTATTTTATTAATAAATAAATTTTTTTAAAAAATAATTTTTATATATTTATTATAAAAATTAATATTAATCATTAATAAAATAATATTATTTAATTTATTAATAATATATAAAATTTATATACTTACAACGAATCAAATACAAAATCTAAAATAATAATAAAAAAAAAAAGCAATGCCGACTCGTCTTGATGACTTGTCCTAAATCCGATCACAAATCGCGACCCGAAAATCGTCAGGGTTAATCGGACGATCGGGATTTGTCCCATCAACAGAGTCCCAAGAGTAGACTGGCACCTTAGTGCGCCTGATCTTATTTCCAATTTATTTTATTTATTTGTGTCATTCTGACGACAAAACTATCATTACGACCACTGACCAAATCCTTTTTCTCTTTTTCTCTCATCAAAAAGCCTAACTCATGTTGACATGACGTCTACTTCACGAGCTGTTTCCTTCTTTTAACACTGTAGCCTTCATCCTCATCGTTCATTGTGGGATCAAGGGATGCTGATCGCTCATCTTTGGTTTGAGCGGGATATTTGTCTTGAAGATTGTGTCGGCAATGTACGATCCTGATGTGCGTTTGTTAATGGTGGGAACTGGGAACACATTAAAATTGACGTGATACCTAATGTACTTGATTGAAACTAATAAAATAAAAGGTCAGATTCCAGGTTCCCACCCTCCACGAGCCTCCGAGGACAGTTACCTGCTCAAATTTATTGTGTATAACAATTTAATCAAATTTTCTTTTATAAAATGATTGGGTATAATTATTAATGTGTTAAAACTCTAAAATATTTTTTTGTCAATGACAAAAAATATATTTTGAAATAAATAAATAATACATAAGAGTCAAATTCTTTTCCTCAAAATGAAGTTAAAAAAAATGAAAACTAACTTTTCCTTTGAAGTCAAAAGATTGGTAATAATAACTTACAAAACCATTCCCCTAAAGGTTGTGTGATTTGTGTGCATAACCATGCAGTAAAAGTTGGTTGGTTTGCTGAGCTGGTAGAAGAATGTTCAAGCATTTGGCGACGAGAAGAGTGTTTTAGTCACGATTATTTTAGAATTAGAATGGCTTAACCATTGTACGGATAGAAAATTTTTTTCGATTGAGAAAAATGGAAAGTTCCATATGCAAAAGCAACAAAAGAATGCCTCTTTTAAGCCTGGCTATGATCAGAGTTTTAGCTCAAGCAATTGTGTCAGATTCTGTTTGTATCCAACACCATTGTCCAGATAAACAAAAAATTAATTAATTAATTAATAAATAAAACGGTTCTTAATCTCTTGGTGTAACACATTCTTATGTAAGCTTTGCCATTCTTTTTTTCTTTCTTAAACCTCATATGGGGGTACATGGACGGTAGTAAAAGAGAGAGAGAGAGAGGATCATGGATCTGCATGTTTTTTATTGCTCCAAACCAAACCCCCCCCCCCCCCCTTGCAAAAATATGGATCATCCAAATCCTCTTTCATTCTCTCCGATAATAAAAAATAAATAAATATAATACAAAATTCAGAATCAGACCATAAATTTATTAATGCTTTGATGAAACTATTTTTATCAAACTTGAAATAATCTAAATGCATTTAGATTTATTGATGAACTTACATTAAATAGCAACAAGTCACATCCCATCCATCATTTTCTTGACCTCCTCAAAAGCAACTCCTGTTTGAATTAAGCCTAAAGTCTTTGTTTTAACCAATTCATTCAATCTTTAATACTACTAATATATTTTCTAAAAAAAAGTGCACATGATTTGTCTTTGTTATCTAACTAAAACTTTGATTGTAAGGCCCTAATCCTCTGATAAAAGCATAAAATATACCATCATTTTCCCGAGTTTGTAACTAAATGGAGCTTTAAAGTAAGAAAAAATGAACTTAATTTAACACCAAGTGGCTTTCATTTTAAGCATGACGAACGAGACTCTAATAAAGGGCGATGGTTGGGGTAATGTGCTATAACAAGGCTAAAGTTTTGTTTTTAAGTGTATCTTTAGGAGGTCAGCAACAGCACGCTTTGCTTTCAGAGCTGAACGAGGGAGCTACGGTTGCGTGAGTTGTGTTCTAATTCCTGTGTCCTGTTTTTGGGGTGTGGAATCTCCTGGTTTATCCATTTCTTTTCTCTTTTGATGCTCCCCTCCTTCTTCTTCTCCTACATATAAAAAATTCGCCTTCCTGTATCGAAGGAGAGAAAGAGAAAGCAGGAAGAGCCCACTAAAGCGTGAAAAAAAAAAAAAAAGAAGGCAAAGCTAGATAAGAACCCACCCCTCTTATCATACTCTTTCTATCCTTTTCACTTTGAGTTGCTAAGAGCACTTTGTTCTTTTGGGGGGTTTCCTTTCTCTTGGTGGGGTTTTCTTTTTTTTTTTTTGAAGGGCGTGTTTTTATATTGCGTTTTTGGTCTGGCATTTTCAGTTTAATGGAGTTGGTTTGGGGCTCTCTAAGCTGAACAGTTCTTGCGTTGTTAGCTAAGATCTTGAGAGTTCTAAACTTCTTCCTATCAGGGTTTTTCATAGCTAAAGGAAAGTTCTGTTGATTTCATGATGTGGGTCTTCATTGTTTTACGCTTTGGTTGAGAGACTCCTTTAAAGGTATAGGGCAAGTTTGGATTTCATTAGTTAATATATGTTGATCCATTTTGCATGGTTTTATGTCCTTGTCCTTTGTTCTCTAGTTTTTTTTGTGATACTTAAGCTTCTAACGTGAAACACTTCATTTTTTGAATTTGTTGCCAGTTATTGGTCTTCAAAGTATAGAAAAAGGTGATCTTTTTGGGTTAATTCGATATCTATTCCATCCTGTTAAGATGGAGAGCGGTTGCTCAAAGAATGGTGAAGCATGTCCTCAATTTCTTGATTTGATTCCTCAACAAAGAGATTGGCATGTGAAGAGAGAAGATGAGAGAAGGCATGGATCCTCGGAGGAGAAGAAGCTGGAACTAAGGCTTGGTCCCCCTGGTGAAGATAACTGGTCCATCAAAGAGGCCACCAAAAACAACACCAGAGAGAGAGATGAGTCCTTACTCTTACTTGGGTACTTCTCTTCAATGAAGAGCAATGGAAAACAGACACACAAGCTTCCAACTCCAGAGGACCATCCGGTTGGCTCAGCTTTGTCCACTCCATGGACCAAAATCCACCAGCACAACCATCAACAGCAGACACAGCCTCAATCATTTCTTCAGTTTCCATCAACATCCCCGCAGAGCTTGCTTGTTGCAGCAAAGGAATCGTCACAGCCTTGTTGCACTAAAGCTGTAGACTTTCAGAATGCAGAGAAAAAAGCATTTTCCCCTCCTGCAAATACAGCTGTGCCTTCCAACAGTTCTCAGAAAAGGTACTCCAGCTTTTTAAATCTTTTTTGACAGAGAATATTCACTGACAGGTTACAAGTTTACCATACTTGCTGTTGTGTGGTCCATGCATACTTGTTGGTTGTTCCATTTCTTTATGTTTCTTATTTTACATGGATCTCAATTTATCTTTCATATATGTACCTGCATATTTTGTAGTTTTAGTGCAAAATTTTACTTTTCACCCTCAATGTTCTAAAAAACTATTTTTTCTGCATGATTTATTAATCTTCCCATTCATGATAGCCTTAGGCTGTTCTGGTAGTAAAAGCCTAATTCTCATCTTTCTTTTTAGATGTACAGGTTTTACTAGTTTTGTCTGTTGTTTACTATTTCCTGTCCTATGCTATTGTATTGAGCCTTTCTCTTATTTTTATCTATTTTTTAGCATGGTGTTTCTTTTCCTTTTCTTCTTTTATTTAAAAATTAAATTTTGGGTAGATGTGTTCCCACTCAAGGCTCATAGGTATCTAACTTGGTTTATGCGGCTTATAATTGTAGCTAACCCTGATTATCTTTTTCAGGACAACTCTATTATTTAGCCTTGAATTAATTGTGATGTTTTTTCTCGTCTAATTCTATGGTTATGATCTTGGAAAACAGAACTGCTCCGGGTCCAGTTGTGGGTTGGCCTCCAGTTCGTTCTTTTAGGAAAAATCTTGCAAGCGGCAGCTCTTCAAAACCAGCTTCTGAAACACCAAGTGTAGTTCCTCACAAGGTTGCTAATGAAAAACCAGCAACTCAACCTAGTGGTAAAGGCCTATTAGTAAAAATCAACATGGATGGTGTTCCAATTGGAAGGAAAGTGGATCTCAGAGCCTATGACAGCTATGAGAAATTGTCAACTGCTGTTGATGAACTTTTCAGAGGCCTCCTTGCGGGTAAGTTTTCAATGAATATATAACTATGCTAAAATCAATTCTTTGCAATTATTTTCACACAGTTTAGCTAAATTTGATTTGATTATCATCAGGAGTGGATCCGGAATTTTTTTTATGAGTGGTCACTTATAATATATATAAAAAATTGCTGATGGGTTATCAATTTTATCGAAGGAAAGGGGTTTAGGGAAAATTTTTGAGGGTGTCTAGAGAAAATTTTCCTTCAAATTTTTTTGTTTTCCAATTTTTGGATACCCCACCTAGCCATTTGGGTCTGTCACTATTGTTATGTCCATTAGCCATTAGGGAAGTTTGTTTTATTCACAGTTTCATGCGTATCTACTTCAATATATCTTGTGTTTGACATTAGAAATTTTGTATTTCATCTGGTCCCTATATGACCAATCAATTCACATCGGTGTTAGTTTTCAACTGTTTAGGTGATGGAAGTGGGGGAGGGAATCGTTAGGAGTAAAATCGGATTCCAAATTGCATATTTCAAGGGAAAAATTTTGGACTCATCTGTTTGTTCTTACTGCAATCAAACTGTTAGCCTATGTTAATGTGATGCTAATTGACAGGTGTGCTCATTTGTTTGTCTTTTGCTTTGATCCGTGTAGCACAAAGAGATTCCTTTGCTGGTGGAACAGAGAACAAGCAAGAGGAAGAGAAAGTGGTTATGGGCTTATTGGACGGGAGTGGGGAATATACACTTGTATATGAGGATAACGAAGGAGACAGGATGCTTGTTGGGGATGTCCCGTGGCAGTAAGCATCTTATCACTGTGGGTCTGATGCAATATGAGATTATACTATACCATATTATATTCCCACAATAAGTGATTGAGCATATAGCAGAATACCATTTTCTTTTTTTTTTTTTGTCGTTTAGTTTTTTCCCGAACTACAGCATTAGATTCTGTACCATTACCATACATAGAATAAATTTGTAATATCTGGCTATTGAATTGGATTTGCAGCATGTTTGTATCAACAGTGAAGAGGCTGCGCGTGTTGAAGAGATCGGAACTATCAGCGCTTAGCCGTGAGTGTTGGCTAATCATGAAGAAGTATTAGTTATTTTGTTTGTTTTTCCCTTGCTCCCAATAAGAAATTGGTGTGGTTCTTTTGCAGTTGGAAGCAGTAAGCAGAGAAAGATACCCGCTTGACTCTGCCTCGAAAACTAAGAGTTTTTTTCTGAAGATTTTCACCAAAGTTTGAATAAGACTTTGAATTATTATGTTCACGTTTTGACATTTTACTTACCCTATTTGGCATGGAACTTGTTGCACCGTCAGTACATATATATAAGTAGTTTATATGTAATTTTTTACTTCTTTTCCTCTGTCTTAACATGCTTTTTTTTTTCTGCGTCATGCCATTTGGAACAATGCTTAATAGCAATATCTTGAGTTTGATGTGTAACCTTTTTGTGTTATGTGCTTTATATTAGCAACCCATCTGGATGGTGAAAGACCCAACCTAATTTAACTCTTCGGCTATAAATATGAAATAAGCTTTGAGGCCTGTAAGCAATTAAGCATTGCTAATTGATCAATCAAGTTCGAGTTCTCGAAACCTCTGTCCATCCGAGTAGTACTCTATTCAAGTTCTCTCTTTTTGAGTGCATCAAATTGTCCTTCTCTGGGTTAAGGAGAAAGTATAGGAAATTGTACCCTTTTTGTTCGGAAGGACAGAAACCGCCCCCCCCCCCTTCCTAGAGCTTATTCTATTTTCTTTTAGTCCCATTTGAGGCATGATTTTTTACCATTTATCCGTCAACACCAACACTCAATGAACTTTGAGGGCAAAAGAAATTTTTAAGTATGAAAAAAAGGAGCCTAGTGAAAAAAGCTATAAAAGAGGGGGAAACAATGAGGGTTTGGGGGGAGGATTGAAGGGTCGTTGTCATTTGAGAGCTGCCTAACTTTGGGCCCAATAATAAGACTGGCTGTCTAAATCTAAATTCGTTTACCAAAAAAAAAAAAAATCTAAATATCTTTGGAGACTTGTCACGTGTGGGAATGTGAGAGATCGCCGGCACTTATCACGGCGCTTTGCCCATACCTTATAGAGTTTTGTAACCGTAACACGTGTGCTTGTTGACCAAAGGAATAGACATGTCTTGTAAGCTTAGCCATCTGACCTTTTGTTCCTCTTTTGATACTAATTAAATACTTCTACTCGTATTTGTCTAATGCTTCTACCATTTTATACGCTTCAAATTTTTAAAGTTCAACATCAGAAGATGAATTATTGTGTGGTTTTCTTTTTTTTTTTTTTTTGTAATTAGGTTCACAATAGCAGTTTTGAGGCAATTAAACTTCATTCTCCACCAGATGCTTTAATCAAATTAATCAAAATTCAAAAGAAGTCCTTACCCAATTGCAAATAAGTTAAACCATCGTAAACTTGGGTTAGCCGAAATTGTTTTAGGCCTCTAAAGCTTGGGTTAGCCGGAAACATTTTGGGCCCAAATTACTACATAAAATCTGTAGATTTACAACCCCAGCATTCCCTGAAGTAAATTTGTTTTTCAAGTCATTGCTATGTCTTTTTTTAATTACAAATAATAGAAATAACTTATTAACCTAAGAATACAAGTAATAAGAAGTCCAAATATTAGAGAATTCGCTCAAGGTTACGTAAACTGTTTTAAGTATACTTAATTGATGGAAGAAGGTACCGGAAGCGACAAAAAAAAAAAAGTTGTTGAGATGAAGGATGATGATGAGGAGGATCAAAGCTCTCGACTGCGCCAGAAAGTGTAATCCATCAAATCCTATCTTTGTTGTCAACAAAAGATGTCGTCCATACCGGTGCTTTGTCCAAGACATGGCAAAGAACTTGAGCTTCATGAAAAGGAAATTTTAATGTCCAATGAAAGGCAAATTAGTGAGGTTACAAGTACTGAATTCATGAAATTTGTATTTAACAGTTTTTCGAGACTTAGCAAAGCATCAGATTGATTTGATGATATATTGGATCGAAATGGTAGCAAAGAACAACCTTAAAATGCTTGATCTTTGCATGAGTACTGCTGCTAAAGTTTTAGAAAGGAGTATTGGCTTGAAATAGGATCATGGTGAAGGAAATCTCACTTGTGATTTGTTGCTAGAGAGTTATGTTTTATTTATAAGTATCACATCTTACAAGAGACATACATTATCATTTATAAAACAAGATAACGGTAAAAAAATGTTAAAATTAGAAAAATAAATAAAAGAATGAAAAATCTATGTAATCTATTGATATTATCAATATCAGCTTTATGAATTGATTTTTTTCACAGATTTGGATTGAAATCAATTTCCTTATCAAGTACCAGAGAGGAAAAACCTTGGCAGAGCATAGTTAAAACTAGAACATTGGTTTGGTTTGCCTAAGATCATAGTCGTTAACGACGTCGAGGCTAACATGTTGTGAATTGGAGCAGACATAGATTCGTGATTCGTAATAACATAAAATTCATTTCGTAACAAGAGTTGTCTCTCACAAATGTTCATGCAAATCAAGAGTATTATTTTTATTTATTCGATCAATAAGATCAATTCTTTTGATTATTTAATCAACACACATTTAATTATTACGTTACTATTATTAAAAGTTGAGTTAAAAACTCTAATTTTAGAATTGATTTTAAAAAAAGATTCATTTAACACCTTTACTGATATCTCATCAAAATATCACTTTATAATTAAATATTAACTTTTAATTTACTTGAATTATTAAATATAATTTATATTTATCTAAAAATATTAAATATAATTCACAATTATCTATACGAATCTTTATTGAACTACAGGCAAACTTATTATCAATTATTGATCGTCTCGATCAAATTATCTTTTTTTTTCTGGTATATAAAATAAAGAAAAGGCCCATCCACGTAAGACTTAAGCATTTTCCTTCATTGTAGCTTCTTTAATACTCTTTACCTTCTTCCGCACTAGACTTTAGACACTTCACTGAGCATGAAACGCGTTCCAGAAAATCAATTCCAATGCTCCAAAATCGTGCTTTTTGACTGCAAGTCCAAATTCCATCACCTTGAACTTTCAATCAAGTTCCATCCAACTAAAACACCCAAAAACATCGTTAACAAATAATTCAAAATCTTATTTTGAATTGCCCTTTAATTAAAAATTTCCTCTCATTTACTGTTATAGAGTGAAATATTTTCGTCTTTTTGGTATCAAAAACCTATATAAGCTTAAAGTGATATAATCTTAAAGGTTTTAGTTATTATGGGTATTTAAAATAACACAATAAAATTTTAATTTTAATTTAATTAATTCATGCAATCATCTTAAATAATAAATTTTAATAAATTTAAAATTCAAATATTAAAATTTTTAACTTATTCTACTATCTCTAAATTGCGATTTCCTTTACAAAAAAATGCAAAAGTAGTAAACCCAATTGCTTGTGAAAATCTATGGGTGTTGAAATTAAACGAGTGAGAGGATTGGTTTCACGATTTTCTTGCCAATTTTCCTCTCCAACTTTTGGTGTTAAATAGATGCATTGGCTTGAGAGATTTTGGATCGGGGAGATTTAAGCTTTCAAGTTATGAGATCGATGGTTTCACCCCAACATCGATGCTCCAAACTTACGGACTTTCGAATACATTTGTAGCAGATTGCCACCATCAATCTCAATTAACACACCAAGAAGCGACAATCAAACTGTTGCCCCATGAGACATCTTGCAACTCTGATTGGTTCCTTCAACTTAGGGCATTTCTTGGAAAGTTAGGCCCTGCATGTGGAATGATGAAACAGTGGAACGAGTTTGTAGATAGTTTACTTTGTACTACTCACCCCAAAAATTCTAATGTAAAAAAATGGGTTCAGATTCTTCGGCCAACAATGAATTTATAAAGGTATATTGGATATAGATGGATTAAGTTTCTAATTACAATGGCTGATGATTCAATTTAATTGTTTGAATTGCAGTGCCTTTGCTGCAAGATGTTCATTAATTACAGCGTTCATTAAAACTGAGTAATATGATCTTTCGGCGTCCTTGACTTTCGGATCATTCTAGTTCGAAAAAACTGTTCATAGCAAAAATCTTTTACAGTCAATTTCAAGTGATCATCAAAAAGGCCAGAGATTACAGTTTGATCATAAATTAGAATTAATAACAGACAAAAGCTTGATACTATCAAACATACTACTATCAAAAGACCCCAAAAGAAAGAAGAAAAACATCAAATATCAACATTACAGAGACAGAATCCAAATAAATTTCATGTTTTTTTCTCTTAATATTGAAATAAAAATAGTTATACCTTATTTTTTCTTTGTTCTGCCTGGCTTCACCCTGGGTGCCATGTATGTAAACCGTATAGTATGCAAAACTACAAGACATACGATGTATTTTCACCGTATGCTCTGCCGAACCTGGCGTCGGTGCCACCAACACCGGCAGGGATTTGGAGAAAGAAAAGTTTGATCAGTTGCCATTGAAAAAAAAGAAAGGTTTCTAAGCTATGTGCTTCTCTTATATGTGAGTTCCTATATTTTTCTCTTCTTTATATAATCTTACATGTGTTTTTCCGGCTTTTGTTTCATGGGGCTGAAAAACTTGCTGCGTACAGGTGAAGTTTTGGGATCTTATGATTTGGTAATAATAATGGAATTTGGTGCCTGATAAGGGTATTTGCTTGAGTTTAGTCATGGCGTGTAGACTAATTTGAAGTAGAAAAAAAAATTTCAAACCTCCAATTCTAGTGAGTGGGATGACAGGGAAACCTTTCACAAAATTCAACTTGGGAAGTCATTACTCTTTGGACTGAAACATGGAAAAGTGTTAATTGAAGGGAGAAGGCAGCAATACATATACATGAACCACCTCCACTCACATCTTCTATTGGGAAAGCCTATACGTTGGTCAAAAACATAATCAAAATGCCATTCCTCTATCCTCTTGTATTTATCTTTTTCTACTTTACATGTGTAATTTCATTTATATTTCTCATACATATAAAAGAATATTCTGACCATGTCTTTTTTCTTTTAAAAATAAAAAAAATATATTTCAAGCAAAAATTTTAAATTCCAATAGATTTTGACTAAAATAACAAAAAAACTCATAAACTTTATCACTTTCCTAAGATAAATCCCCATATTTTTATTACATTTAAGTAAACCCTTTAACTTTAATTTACACTGAAATAAGCCTAACCTTTAATTTGTACTTAAATAAAATTTTAACATAAATTAATATTTTGTTTGAAATAAAAATTTATTTGAATACAAATGAAAAAGAAAAAAAAATTAATAAGAAAAAATAGGAATAAAGGAAGTGGGGTATTAGAAGAGAAGCATAGTAAGACACCCAAGCCACTGATTTGAAGAGAAAAAGAAGTAAGAAGCGTTGACAATATTTTCTTTTATATTTTTTTTTCTATTTTTCAAATAGATATCATTCCAAAGTTGCTTCTTAATCTATCTTTGTCGGATTTGTCATTTTCTGCTAATATGAAATGAAAATCAACACCCAACTATAAAATCCTTGACGTAGCAGTGTCGTTATCTGTCACAAAAGTCTCCTCTACTCGGATAAATTTTGAGTTATAAGTTTATAACCAGAATTTTTATGAAAATTCAGTGATAAATTTTTTCACAATGTCAAAGAAAATTGCTAAACTCAAATTCTCCCAAGCAGGTGACACACTACTCATGCATTCTGATTCTTGTTTAAAGATTTTATTATAAATGTACTGGAGTAACTAATTGAGAAAGGAAAAAAATGCTAATCCCCCAGGAAAAAAATTTGTCTTAGAAATAACTAGAAAATAATGGCAGAACCGGTTCTTGCGGATCTCAGGACTCATCCGATTCGAGATACTGTGAATGGGAAGCAGCAAGAAGAGCGGCTCCAATGCCAGAACCATCATTTGAATGCTCAACTACAATCGTTTCAGTTACCTCTTGTCCGAGCAATTCGTTTAGGCTGTTCTCCAAGCACCTGCGGTATTCTTCGTAGTGCTCAAATAGTCCACCATCCATAGCTATTACTGTTCTTTGTTTCTCCCCTTCCTTGACTGCGTCTCTTCCCATTTTCTTCAGGATGCCCAGTACACCAGCAGCCGAAAGACGTGCCCCACGTGTGGCAACAATGTTGCAAAGCTCAACAATCACTTTTCTCATCTTCAGAGAGGTATTTGATATCTAAAATATAAACGATAAACAGGCTTCAGTGGCTGATAGGCTGGTAGCCAGAAACATCAGCATAAATCCCTTGAGGTCAAGACAAGATACTGAATATAGAAAACAATAATTCAATTCCAATCACAACAGCTTCCAGAGTTGCAAGCAAACTTCTCCATGGAAAAAAGCTTTAAGCAAGTGATGTTTTTCTTTTCTTGGATAAGTTAAGCTACTGATGTTATGGGAACTTTTCGTAGGAAATGAAAGCCTTGCCGTAAAATCAACTTTGAAGTGATTTCAATGAAATGAAGAAATCAAAATTGGATTCTATATATCGGGTTCAACCAGCATTATGCAAGACCAAAAATCCACGAAGAGAATTGGAGAAGTTCTATCAGGGATATGAAGGACAAACAATAATTTCAGGCAAAGAAAAAAATGCGAAATAACCAGGTTTTGATGATCAAGAGTAACATCTGGAGAATTTCACAAGAGTATAACATACCTCAAGAATATTTTTCAATTTATCAGCTACCACTTTGAGTTCAGGGGAAGTGTCCTGATGCATTGCTGACATAACAGGAGTCCTGCATGTCAACAAAGCTCAAATATTACTATTCTACAGATCTTGAACGCAAAAGAAAGGTGCATCTTTCTGTATAGAAAAGGCAATAATATCAGTGAAATTTCCAAAATATAATGGGAAGAAGGGAATGTGCCCCATGCCATGAACAGTAATCCAAGGCTTGTGCAAGGAAACATTTCTTTACCACTTCCAAAAATCACTCCTAATTATGCAAGTAAAACGAAATTAGGTCAGACAAGGAACTGCACTGTGAATAAAGTAATAAAAATGCATACAAAAACCAGTGGCAGTTCTTAACTGCTCTTTGCAGTAATAATCAATACTGAAAATGACACTTGATACAACAAACTATCTATAAGAAACACATCATATGAAGACCATGGAGGCTGGAGACAAACGTAAAAGCTAGCCAAAGCATCTCAGTGGAACTGCAGGTAAAGAAGAAAAGCAGAACAAGAACTGTCTAACCATAGCGTCAGCTTATTTCCACCTGTTTAACCACCTTTGCATTGGATACTTCAACAGCAGCAATTTACTTTATTCATTATTTGGTGTCACATAAATGAAACGTAAATTGGGTATATATGAATTCAAAGAGATAAGCTCAGAAATGAAAGACATGAATCTCCTAACAAGGAATACACCTTCAATTGATGATGATTATGCAAAACCACACATATACTGACTCAAATTAAATAGTTCTTCAAATATTAAAAAAAAAAAGAACCACCTAAGCAGATCACTTCAAGTTCAAATTATTCTCATAATCTCACTGAAAATATGTTTTATTAGAATGACCTTTCTTTGCAAGGACAAACAATGTTTGATACCAGTTTTCTCATTGCAAGCACAGTGAAAATGAAAATCATGTCATGCAGAGTTATAAAGAAAAATATTATTAATCAATTTACAAAAATTAGAGTACAGTTGATGAACATAACTTGAAATCAAGGAAAAAGAAATACCCAGAGCAAAGAAAATTTTAAAAAGAAACAGATCAGTAAATAGCATAAGGAAATTACCTCAATATGAATGGCACTTTAAGTTTTGGTGGAACAATGTCACCAAAAAATGCAGCTTCCTCAGCCATCCTACACAGAACTCTGCGGACAATTTCTCCCAAATACATACCAGATATTAACTTCTCGTAAATCTGTCACAAATCAAAAAAAAAAAAGACAAGCAAATGTTAAAGAGACTTAAGGCAAAAGCTAAAGGAACAAACAGCACAAAATTGTGCACTTACCTGTTCACCAGGGTTTAAACTATCTGCATCTAGTGCATGGTCATACTCTGTTAATGGAAGATGAGCTGACCTAAAGTTACCCCACTCCATATTGATAACCTTCAGCCAAATATTTGCAGCAACTTTAATATTCATCCTACACCTAATTTAACAGTTCTATTTCAAACTTACATGGATATTCTCATTGATTTTAATTGTGACATCAAGAAAGAAAAAGATATAGTCTCAAAGCCATAGAAAGTTACTGATAGCAATTAAAGAACAGCTAACCATCTCTCCTGACTTGGGTAACAGACCATGCCATTTTGGTATTGCATGTGCACGTTCCACATATGCTGCATTTGATCCAGTACCAAGGATCACAGCAGCAACAACATCATTGTTAGTATACCTACCTCCAGCTAGTGTTCCAATGGTGTCATTGACCTGGTGTCAAAATGGGTGCAATAAGATGCTAGGGAGACAAGAATAACAACAATGAAAAGCAAGATAATTATTCTGTATCAGGTTCACAGCTCAAATTAAAGTATCTAAAGGTCTTATAACCATTGAAAGAGAAAATCCATAACATGAACCTACCAAAGCTGAGACACGCATGTCAAGACCTTGTCTTTCCATGGCCTTAGTTAATTCTGCTACCACATCTTGGCCAACCTGTTAAATCCATAGCCAAGAACAGTAAAGAGATATAAGTTGAGGATAAAAGACCAAATGTTATGAGAAGTTGCATTAATCAATAATAAAGAACCCAAAGAGCAGCTTGTGCACTGAAATGATATATATATGAATTCTTAAAAATCAAATGCCTTGAAACTCTTTTTTCATAAATTATTGCTTTAGTTAAACTAACTTCTAGGGGGCAAATATATGGGGCAAATTTATTGGGAAAATTTCTACATCCCTTAAATTTTGAGAAAGACTGATGCATAATAAGTACGGAAAGAGAGTGAGCAATTAGCACTGACTGCATCATCTATCGAGAAGCCTTTTGTCCACCTAAGAAGGGTTCCAGAAGCAATGGATGATTGCATCACAGGGAATGAGAAGGTAAAACCAAGCTCCCTCTGCCTACCGGGAGTAAGTTGAAAATCCATGCCTTCTTGTGCTACAAATTTTGCAAGTTCTGCGGCAATATAGTCAAATAGTGCCTGAAATCAAGATCACCTGTCAGATATTAGAGGCTTTATGCCTCAACTAGTTTCCAGTCATTTCTTGAAAAGCAGAAGCACTTACATCTGACGTTCCTGTCATCAAACTTGGAGGAATAGAAACCTCCTCAAACTGTTGGTTGACAATACCACTATCCTTCCCTCCCAATTGCACTCGTAACACACGGAAGTTAGTGCCACCAAGGTCCAATGCATAAAATAATCCCTTCTCCTTCCTAATTTAGGAAAAGAAAAAAGATTACAATTTAATCAAGTAAAATCTCTAATGGACCACCTAAACATACGAGAACCAATAAAAAAAATGTATGCAAAAAAATAGTTATTAACATGTCCCTCATCCACCCCATCATATAGAGAAGAATCTTCAAAGTGGATCAGATGGAGCATAAATTTCTAGATGTGCACATGCGTAGAGACACCCATATGAACTCAAGCAAGTGTCCATGAACTTGATCCCATATAAACAACCTCAAACAACAGAGACCCTCATATTAACTCATTCGAAATATATGTTTGATAAAAAATCCACCTAAGACTTAGCTGTAGTGATCCAAATACTCAGGCATACGTACATAGACACATACATTAGCAATATATGTATGAGCATTGATCTTTAATGCATTTTAGACGTAAGTGATAACACACCAACATAAAAGCCAAACAAAATGGATCAAGTGAATGCATAATTATACATGTTCAAAAACAAAGGAAAGAGATTGAATACCCAGTAGGCAAATTGTCAACATAGCTGATGAGCATCTTGAGTTTGCTGCCACCTTCAGAGGCAAGGCCAGCATGCATCTCTACAGTCATGGCATCAGCCACTTGTCTCAGCTTCCAAATCGGGGTCGCACACTTTTCTTCAAACTCTGTCACTAACTCCATTGCTTTGATCCACCTCCCTGACTTCTTCATTTTCCGATGAACCACCACCGCTGCTGCCGCTGCCACCGCTACCCCACATACCACCGCCACCCCAACTGCCACCTTCCCCATTTTCTCACCGTAAAAATGGGATTTTTTTGTTTATAATCCAAAAAACTGAAAAATAAAAGGAACCCCTTTTTTTCGAGATTTAATAACAAACGGCAATTAGGAGTTATGTGATTTAAATCAGTGAATGGTTGTTGAATCAAGATTAGAGCTTTGTGCGAGAAAATAAAAATAAATCAAATCAAATCAAAAGTAAACAAAAAGCAAAGATCTTGCTTTGGCTTGGAGAATGGGGAAACGAGCGGGAGCGAGAGACACTGTAACAGGCAAAAAGAAAAAAAAAAAGGGGGGGTGGTAAATGAAGGATTTTATAGCTTTCTATCTCAGCAATGGTGGTTCATTCAGGTGAAGATCTATAGCTTTTAACTTCATCGATAAAAATTGCACAAAAGAAAAATAAACTTCACCAATCAGCATATCATTGTAAATTTTACCAAGGGGCCATGAGTACACGTGTCTACTTTGTTTGAGTTTAGACTTTCGATTTGGTCTTATGACTTTGCTTTGGTACTTTTGTTTTTGTTTTATGCTTTTCTTCTTTTTTTCCACGCGAAAAGAGTTCTCCTGTATTAACATTTCTTTGCTTCTTTCTCCATGCAAACGCAAATTTATTACTACAGATAAATTGACCAAAAAGAACTCAAATAAAATAACTAAACTTTTTTTTTTCAAGTACAATCAAAACGGAGATATTATGAAGTATCAAAATAAGAAAACCTAAAGAATTCACACTGCATTTTGGTTTATCTCGTGGAATCGGGATGACATCTTACATTAGCTTATAGATTAAACCAAAATAAACAAGTGCTTTTTTTTAGGCCAATCAAAATTTACGAGTCCATCTTTTTGTTGTACTTTTTTTCTTGCTTTCGAGGAAATGTTGAATTTGAGGTCGTAATAGGGAAATTTGACAAACAAAGAATCAGAATTTCATGGCTGATAACGACTTTTACCAGGAACTCTCAAAAAGTAAAATTGTTAGATGTCCTTAAAATCGATAACGGATAAAACCTATTTGTCAACCAAGGTTTATTTTTATTAGAAACTCTACAAAACTAAAAATGCTAAATGTCCCTTAAATCTTAAAATCATTCAAAGAATGGATCCCAACGGGATCGAAGAGTGAATCAGAACAATATCGTTGGAAGAGTGGTTCAGAGGCTAACAGAACTTGAGACGTATATCAAAAGCTAACAAAGCTTGAGAATTCCCGTGACCCTCTTGCCAAAAAAAAGCTTTTTAATGCAGAAATTTAATTACTGTTGCCATTAGAATATAACGTATCCAGGAAACGAAGTAAAAACCCCATTAACCACGAAGAATTCGAGATGAGAATCAAACCCAACCTGTTTGCTTTCAGAATAAAGTTCCCTGTCACACACTAGCTTACCAAGTGTTTGTTTTTTTTTTTTTACATCTAACCAAGAATGAACAAACACCAAGATATGGAGAGAAAGACATTAAATATAATTTAATTTTATTACAATACATGGCAGCAAGAGTTAAGAATAAGCTCCTATCCAAACTAGACCTTGAACCTGAGTTTAGTTTTTATAAAAATACACATCTCAACCATTCCTACCAAAGGATACCGAGACACGCAACTTCTCAACATAAAAGGACCCCCGGAGACACTGACACACTAGAAAACTACCAAGTTAGGAAAGCATAACCAAAGAAACAAAAATCATGATAATGCAGGAGTTAATTGCCTGTGCAAAACAGGCACTTCCTCCTACCCCCCCCCCTCTCTCTCCCACTTTTTTTTCCCCTTCTTTGGAGAACAGAACAGAGGACAATGTAAGTGAAAATTTGTACAGAGATGCAAGCTACAAAAGCCACAACCCAAAAGATCTTTAGATTCTGCCAACTGGTTCTGTCCAGGACAGTAGAACCAAGGAACATGTGCCCGAAAAAGAGGAAGAAACAAAAGCCAGCTACTAAAATTACACTTACCCGAACTGCTGGCTGTCTGTGCCTTTTTCTGAGCAGCAACAATTTCGTAGACTATCCAGTATCCACCAATCTAAATTCTTATCTCTCACGCCGTCGATGTCAATCTCAACCTCCTATCAAAGTAACAACAAAAAAAACACCACCAATAGAAGCACTATAAAGAAAAACATTGCATATAGAACCCCAAAAGAAACACTCACTTAAAATTTCAAATACATGCCTTATCACTGGATCATGCTCGGTTTCTGAGTCAACAACTCCTTTCATGGACTTAAGAACCACACCAACCACAGTATTTGGCTTCACATCAGAAAAAACAACAAATAAAATCAAGTAGATTAGGTAAAGGTGTTGACTCAATGGATCAAAATATTCAAGACAAAGAAAGTCCTTTCAAGCGTAAATTAGTGAGCCTTTCAAACCTGAGATTCACGTAATGCCCAACATGTATTTCATATACCAGTCAGAACATTGTAAATCACATAATGCCCAACATGTAGTTCATATTCCAGTCAGAAAATTGTAAATAATCTCTTTAAGGGCGAAAAGGTTTCAACTATTCTGTTCGCAGTTTCTTCATGTCTTGAAAGTATATTCGGTTATATAATCTATAAGTCAGACAGAAAAACAACCAATATGGCAATAGACATATAAATTATGGAGCAGAAAAACACCAGATAATGAAATGATTTACTTTCAGGAATTCTGAGGCAACAAACTGAGGAAAAAAAGAAATCATAACCAAATATAAATGATAAAAAAAATCAGGAAAATTTAGGAACTTGAATACAAAACCTCTAACTCTTCCAGCAATTCATCTTGAAATACTCTATTCTGTTCAGAATGTTCATACTCCACAGAAGATCTACAATCATCACACGAATCACTCTGAGAAGACGCTGGGTTATCATTACCTCCGTTGGTCCTTTCACTGCTGCCTGCTGTAGATTCATTCCCAATATCCTCAACTGAGCAAGAGCTGATAACGGTGGAATTAGATGATGCATTCCCTTCAGCAAGTCCATTCATTTCATCTAGATCTGATGTAGAACAACCTGGAGACATAGTGCTAAGCTTACAACTAATAATCTCAGGAGAAACTGTCTGACTCTTATCAGGACTCTTCCGTTTCTCTGACCTACTTTGCTCATTATTTTCTCCATCAGGATCCTTTTTCCTCTTAAGGCATTTCTCACCAGATTCAGTTTGACATGCAACACCATTGTCATGAAACAGTTTATCAGACTGCCGGAGGGGAGTAAACCGCAGATTCCGAGTACATTTATAGCCATCTGAGAAAACATAAGCCAGAAGCTGCTTTCTACGGACATGGGATACATAGATTTCCATCCCAGGTTTCCAAAACATGTACATGTTTATTGAATGCCGGTCAACTGACCCACGTATATCAAACTGCTGACCTTCCTGAACTGCTTCCCCCTGTTTCCTTTGTAAACCTATAAAGAATGCACAATGGGCACATGGCTTAGATGCATCTACATACTCATGAGGATAAGGATGGCACTGCAACTTTCCGTAAGTGTCTCGCTCAATCTGTAAATGATAAACTTAAAATGAAGATGAGATTGAAATAGAAAAACCTTTAATATCTTCGTTTCATGAAGGTTCACAGTTAATCAAAACTTTAAATTTAACCGCCATGCCATAAAGGCACAAATATTACCATCAAAGTCAGCTGCCTTAGCCGGGATTCCACCCAACCTTTCCAAGCACGCAAATCATTAGCATCAGCTGCAAGAATGTCAACTTGCAGATAGTTTTTGTAGCTTTCGAAGAACAAATAAGGCTCAAAAAGAGCACTCCACTTCACTCTATTCAGCTCAATCTTCTGGATTTGGAGGAGATAGGATAAGCGATCAGCATATATATATTTTTTGGCCAAAAGGATCAGTATAGAGAAATTGATTCTCTATTCTCTTACCTCGCAAATGTTGTTACCATATTGGAATTGCTCCATCATGACTCGAAGGGTGCTTGGGGACACATTATAGCTAGAATTCATGCATGGATAGGCAGGTGTAATAATTGGCATATGATGAGTCCTATCACGGGGATTTTTACAGGGATCCCATACAGAAAATCCAAGTTCATCTTCAATTGCACATAGCATAACTGTGTTTGGCCAACGCCACTGGGTATAGACCCTAAAAAATCGTGAAACAAGCATACTAGGAACTGCATTAGGATAAAGTTGGCAAACTCGAGCTACAAGAAGAGCCCAGTTGACACCCCCAAGAAATCCAGTCACCTGAAATGGAGATTTATGGTAAAACAAATAGAGAATGCAGTAATGAAGATAATTAGAAAAGTATGAAGGAGAATAGGACTGACATTGGAAAAAACACCACGCCTTTTAGCCCAAAATTTCAGACATCGGAGCGTTAAGCAAAAATGCTAAAACATTATACAAGTATGAAGCTTAGAAAAAGATCCAAACAATCAACGATTGCATGGAAGGCAAGAAAACAAACTATAATTTGAAGATCAGATATGTGATCAGATGCATTTCACCTCAACGTTTGGCACCAGTTTCAGAATTTGATCTGCCACTCTGCAGCCATTAAGACTTCGAATAGTAGGCTCATCAACATTGTACAATACCGACATGTCAGAGATGTCAAGATCCTGTCCACAAGCAAGCATTTATCAAATATATAAAACCTAGATAAAAATCAAAATGGTCGTCACCTACTAGTTCATTCCAAAGCAAAGAAGCCCACACAAGAGGACAAGAAAGGGAGAAGCAACAAAACTATCTAGAACACATTTTAACTACACATTTCTTAGAAAGGAAAAACAAATTCAAACAAACAAGACTCACATGCTAAATTTGTAACAACAGAAACATGCCTCATAAATTGTAGTAAAACCTCCACAACATGGTATGTTATGGAGCAAACTAACTGAATAAAATGCACAACAAAAGCATAGAAAACATTCATATAAAGTCATACATGCTGCTTAAAAGAAGTAATCTGAGAGGGAGCGAGACAGGCACATACACGGTAACAGAGAGAAGGGCGTGACTCTAAATGCATGCAGACAAGATGAAGATCCAACCAATACAATTCTAAGGATTGAGAAGATAAGAAGCAGAGATATCCAAAAACAAGACGCTAGAAGTAACTGTACATTTGTACATAAACAGATGCTTACTTCTAATAGAATTTTTTACTATGGAAATAAAAGGTGATTTAGACTTACTTGAGGCACAACCAAACAAGAGATGCTTGCATAAAGAAGGTCGATTGGTATTCCATCAAACTTAAATTTCATTACAGGGACATGAGCATCTGGAATTGGTTGTAACTCAGTAATTTCTTTTCTTTCCGCCAGGATGTTGTGCAGTACAAAAAAGAAATCTTCCTGGTTAAGACAGCAAAAATCCAGATAAGTAAATAAAAGGGTTTGTAAATCAGCAATTCAGTCACTAATAAATTTTGTATTTACCTCCCTGTTCACATAAGATGGCCCCACACATAAAGTGTCTATGTCAGAGCCAGGTCCATGAACCTATCAAACAATAAAACTTAATCAATATATCTGCATATGAAACATGTAAACTACAGAGAATAAATTATAATGCTTACAAAAAACAACAAAGATGTTCCTA